GTTCGGGCTCCTTGTAGAGAGTTCGGGCTCCTTGTAGGGAGTTCGGGCTCCTTGTAGAGAGTTCGGGCTCCTTGTAGGGAGTTCGGGCTCCTTGTGGTTTCCCTCAAGTCAATTAATTATTTAGTGTCAGCTTCATGAATCCTGTTCCTTTTAAACTATCCAGGGTCATATACATTCTTGTGTCATAGGCCCATCATATGCTTCAATAGAACAGTCATTGGCCTTATAACCTATTGAATCTCTATCTAGGTTTTCTACCAATGCATTCATTTCTGACTTTGTTCTTCTTAAGTTTTGTCATGCATCCATGTCAACATTCTGATCTCAGCTATGCTCATTTTATGTGTGTATTTTTTCTTGATCTTCCAATATTCTATCCCATACAGCACAACTGGTCTTATAAAATTTCCTAGCACTCTAGAAGCACATCTGAGTTTCATCCTTATTAGTTCAATTCTATGGAAGCATCATTCTTCAATGTATTCATCAATCGATGTATCAAAAAGTTGTCATATGTTTTTTTTTTTTTTCACTTTTTGATTGGTAACTGGTGACTTTATTAAGAATTGGATATAATTACAAGAATAGTAAAGTGACAAGCACTCCAGTCCTTTTTCATACAAGTATTATGTTATCTTTTTCCGAAACAGCAGTTTCTATTTGGTTATGTAATTCATTTCCTATTACGTTTTCATACATTCAGAATTGCAACTTTAGTAGGCCCTCATAGTCAACCTATAACTTATTTTGGTATCCCCTCTCCCCTANAAAAAAAAATCAGGTTGCTTTGCTAGACTATGGACAAGTGAAGGATCTCCCTGATGATTTGAGGCTCGGATATGCTGGCCTGGTTCTTGCTATTGCTGATGGTGATCCTATAAAAGCCTCTCAGAGTTACAGGTATTAAAGTTCACCAAATAATTGCTAATGTATTATTTTCATCTGACAACAGTAAGATTGAATATCCAAGATAAAGGTCTTAAGAAGTATCTAAGGAATTTATCAAAAAAAAAAAAGAAGTATCTAAGGTTAAATACTAGTAATTCTACCAGTGGATGTTGTTTAAAAACAAGGGAGTTGGTTGATATTCAGTGGGACTTGTGCCATTATATTGGATGACAATTGACTAGGATGGTTAACTACTGGATATGGTGTTCTCTCTTTCTGGAAAATCTGCTTTCTTTTTGACTTTTGAAATGGCTGCATGGATCAGATGATTAAGATCATCCAATGAGGTGGATGTTTGTAGAGAATGGGGACCAATGGGCTTCTCCCATCTTTTCTTCTGCACCTTCATTTACTTCCATGCTGTTGGTAGGTCAAAGTTTAGCTAACCACTGAACAGATACCTTATGAATCCAATTTCATATATGATTAGACCTTTTTCACCTTATGAATCCAATTTCATATATCATTAGACCTTTTTCTTGCAGAAATTCTTAAAGTAAAAATGGTCTAGCTATCCTCCCGTTTCATAAGGTCTTTCTTTAAGGCCATGTTGGGCCATTGATGCTGCCTAAATTATAAGATTCTAATTAAAAAAAAAAACTCGGATCTTATATCTATCTGGTATTATAGTTAAGTGCATATGTTATTATTTTTCTTATTTCACTTTGCAGAGAGCTTGGTATAAAAACATTGAGTAAATGTGATGATGAACAAACAGAAATGCTTAAGTTGGCCCAAACAATGTTTGATACAAAACTCCCGCCTGGAGTGATGATGTTGCAACCTTTTTCAGAAGAATCTTCAATAAAAAAAATTGCTGTTCAGGTATAATTGCTATTCAAGCCCAAGGAGGTTTTGCTTCTTATCTGCAGTTGGATTACACTACTAGAGGTGCATAAATTTTGTGGATTACATATAATGTATGCTTACACACAAAAACATCTTGGCTTTTTCATTTCTCCTGTTTTATTGGTGTTTAAATTTCATAAAGTTCTAATATGGAGGTATATTACAAGAGGGTACCTGTACTCAAAACTGATGCTCATAGGGAGATAGAGAATTTTTAGGAATGTGAAGTAGTTCACTCTATGGAACACAGTGAAATAGTTTCATAGCTTTGGGAAAAGGGTACCTCCTCACAAAGGTATTCGTGCCTCGCGGTAACCAGGCCTGGGTGACTATTTACAAAAAAATGCCTCCGCATTATATGATTTCATTGTTATAAGGAAAAAACCTACTAGTCAACTTGTTAGGGAAGCTCCATTAACAATCCATGAATCTTCCACATGGAAAATTAGTTTGGAGTCCGAAAGGCTCTCTGTGTTCTACCCGTTCTATGTTCATGGAAAAAAATATTGGCCCAAAAGACCTTGCAACATGTGTAGGATAGGCTCTTTTTTGCAAGCAAGTCAATGGTTAATCTTATCTGGGAGGCTGTTCCAAAGAGTTCCCTACTCCGTGGATTGTTTAGATCAACCATATCATCCATCTATGTGGCAGAAATTTGATGGGTTGTGTATCCCTGATTGACCCATTTAGGAACCCTTTTCCACACACACATGTACATATCATCATCATCCAAGCCTTATCTGAACTATATGGGGTCAGCTACATGAATCCCGTTTCACCATTCTGTTCTGTTTAATGCCACAACCGTTGTTAACTTATGGGTACTTAAAATCATTTTTTACTACTTCGACCAATGACCTTTTTGGTCTACTCCTAGCCCTTCTAGCCCCTTCAACTTGCAACAGGTCACTTCTTCTTAGAGGTGCTGTTGATGGTCTTCTGTGCACATGACCAAACCATCTTTGTCTACTTTCTCTCATTTTATCACCTATTGGAGCTATTCGTAGGTTCCTCCCAATGATTTCATTTCTGATCCTATCCTTTCTTGTTTTTCCACTCATCCATCTCAGCATACTTATTTCTGCCACACTTATTTTTTGGGCTTGTTGTTTCTTGACCGCCCAATACTCTGCTCCATATAGGATAGCTGGCCTCCATGATCATGGGAGTTTGGCAAAAGTTTTAGTGCCAACTGCCAACCTGGAACAACCTTCCTCCTTTATCCTGGCTTGGGACTGGCTGTGTAAGACAAGCTCACACTGTTTAGTGTCCCATTTTTAATACATGATGATTTATAGTTCTCTTTTCTTACACTCATGAGGATATTTTGTGTATTTGCCTTTTTTTTTTCTCATCTATGATTTTTTTCCATGTAATAGCTTCTTTTCCCTTTCTTTATTTGTTCGATTGTAGGGAGGGTTCCATTCATGATCTTATTTCTTTAGATGGAGGTGAATGTTCTTGATCTAAGGTGATGTAGGAGTAATAGCATTGATATTGAATTAATTATTGATGTAGGACAGATAGGTCCAATATCACTTAAAATAGGACTTCAATGACTGATGGATGAGTCTAGGAGGGTTAGGACAGGTTTAGGAGTGAGTGATTTTAGGACTAAAGTAGAGATTGGCTTTTATATTTTAGAAGGTAAGGTAAAAAATTTTATTGATGAAAGATGAAAGATGAAAATGTTACTACTTCCTGGAGCCCCTCACACAGACACATTAGAGACTCCAAATAGGAAGACACATTACAGCTTGTTGTTACTGCTTTATTCTCTGGCCCTATTGGAGAAGGTGACTCTCTTAGGGCTGAGATCCTTGCAGCGCTTGAAGGAATTCGAAGAGCAAAAGATCTAAATATTAGCCGTTTGATTCTGGAAGGTGACTCGAAGGTGGTGGTTAATTGGTTGAAGACAGAGGACAGTGGTTT